GGCTTCTATTGAGATGACTGATCTACACCAATTTTCTTATCAAACAGTGGAAAGACTCTTAGTGCTCCCCCTTACAAGTAATTCCTCAACTACCTATATCATTCTTTATAGTATGGATAGGCTGACAATTTTCCAAATCTTTAAGTTCTAGTTCCTTTCTATCGGTCAACTCCATCTTTAAATCACTTCTCTCTTCTTGTATTTTACCATAAGCAGTCAGGAGAAACCAAGTTGCTCCCTCAATATTTAGTGTTTCAATTAAATATCCAATATCATCACTCATAAGTTCTAACTTCCACAAAACAGTAGAACACAAACACAATTCAGTCAAGTTCTTTGCCACTTTATAACAAGAATCACGGTTCCTCCAGTTTACAAAATATGTTCCTCATTTCCATATAAGACCTCATCATACCTTTACCATACATAACCAATACCTGTTTCGGATTACTTAAGTAATCTGATACAAGACTGATGCTTTCTTTAGTGTTCTCCTTTTTTTCTTTCTGAGCCCTCACCAAAATAGTCCTTTACAGTTCATTCACAGTAATATTAGCTTTTCCTAGCATGCACTTCAGAATTCTTCCAGCTTCTACCCATTACCCAGTTCCAAATCTGCTTCCATATTTTTAGATATTTGTTAAGCAGTACCCTCAGTTCTCAATATTATTTCGGTCTTAATCTGTTTGAATTGCTATATACAATTACCATAAATTGAGTGGCTTATAAACTACATAGATTTATTTCTCACAGTTCTAGAGACTGAGAAGTCCAAGTTCAAGGTGCCAACAGATTCATTTGACTTTTAAGGAGCCATTTCCTGTCTGTCATAGATGGCCATCTTTTTGATGTGCCCTCTCATGGTGGAAGAGAAGAACTCTGGTCTCTTCAGCCCCTTGTGAGGGCACTAATCCCATTCATGAGAGCTTCACCCTCATGCCCTAATCACCTCCTAAAGGCTCCACCTAGATTACTTTGGGTATTAGAAATACTATTACATTGGGAACTAGGAATTTACTCTCTATTGGGGATAAGGAACAGTGGGAATTAGGTTTCAGCATAAAATTCTGGATGAACACAAACATTTAGTCTATGGAAGGGATCTACCCAACATAAATAATTAAGTAGAGCTAGAAGGACCAAGTAAGCACCCAATATTATGAGGTACCAAATATTCATGCCTTAAGTGAGTCACCCAATGACTGTACCCATTTTGACCTCATGTGTTCTTTGTGAGGTAAAAAAAAAAAAATTAAAAAAAAAAAATCCAAATATGTTCAGTAGTATTGGCAAGTTACAAATATATCCAGGCCAGGCCTACTTGCCCCTGAAGATTGAGCAAGCTGTGTTGGTTCCATATATATTCCATCTGCTGTGCCCTCACTCCCACTCAATGGCGGTCCTCACACCATTAGGGAAGGGTGATGTGGCAGAGAAGGCAAGAAGAACAGGACACATGAATGCAGAGTAACAGGATTCAAAGTGTACTTCTTTCCTTCCTCCTTAACCCTTTATAAATAGAAAAATTGATCTCTATCCTTTTCACTTTGCTTCTTGCTGTGTTTTAAGTTGATTCACAAATCCTGTGACTAGAATATTTTGATTTGGTACATGATCTTTCTGAACATGAGTATAAGTTCCTGCTTGTACTATGGGATATATAGAAGATAGCTGATAGTACTAGGCATTAAGGCTATAAGAATAGAAGTCCCCATGTTAGAGAAAAAGCTACAAGGTGCAGGATACTCTTGAAATTATCAGCACAGCAAAAGTTGGGGCTAAATCAGAAGAGATGAACTGTTGGACCTTGATAATACCAAGAGTATTATCCATAAATTTGCCAGTCACAGATTTGATAAATAAACTCATCCACAAATCAGAACATCCAGAGTATAAAAATCTAGCTCCCATCTCTCTTCATTCATTAGAATATTCAAGCTACTGCTCTCAGCCTACCACCTCTTAAAATGCCCAGATGCCATCTTGGATAGAACAGCAGGAGAAACAGAAAATCTGACTCAGGATTCACCTGAGAGAACTGGAGTTATCCAAAAGAAACATTTAAAACTAAAAGAGACTAAAATAGCATCGATTGGCAAGTATAATTTCCCACTTGTTTGGGGGTGAGTGGTTTACTTGAGGAAAGATAGATCTGTTACCGTAAAGCAGTTACATTTTCTTTGTACATATGAACAGCAATGTAAATTTGTGAACCTACCACAGGATCACTAACAGCAGAATTCCATAACACTATCAGCATAAGAGGTCAAAGGAATGAGGAAGAGAAAGTAGGTTAGTCAATGGGCACAGAAACTGAGCATATATAAACCACTCTATGTCCCACTTCAAGAGTCCATAAATACACATACACACATACATGCACATGTACACATAGTACAGATATCCAATACTCATTATTTTTATGAAGAATTACTATCTTCAGTAGCAGGTGCTTGGGCAGTAGATATATACAAGATGTGTCTAAATAGAGAAATCCCATATGTTGAGGATCAGAAAATGGTACCCCAAAATATGGTGCTTTGGCATGCTGAGTGCTTTGAATTAAAAGGCCTCAGAACCAAAATCTTTCTCTAATATTACCCCCCACACTCCCTCAGTCTCTGATTTTCTTTCCTGAAGAAAGAGTATCCCACCGGAACGATTATCTCTGGAATTTCCTTACCTAAGTAAGAAAACTTCTTTCCAAAAGAAATGTAATGGTCTTATGATCTGCTCTGCAGAAGTTTCAGCAAATAGCCAGGAAAGATTAACAAACAGAGAAGTGACTAAAAGTTGTTGCCATACACAGATGGACTTTCCATCTGTTATTCTAGGGCCAACTCTAAGAGATTATGTGGGAGACTTTATCTTCATAATAAGACAATCTTTGTTCACAGTGAAGCTTTACTATTCGCCCTCTCCTCACCTCCTCCAGAGCTCAGAGGATCTTTATTCCAGGCAGTTGCTCTTTGGGCCTCTTCATTTCCCCTAAAAATCATTTCCCACCTCTTTAAAATGATCTACATCCCTTCACTTCATTCTCCTCAATGAAGGAGATATTTAAGCCTCAACCACCAGGCCCTTATTTGAGTCTCATATTTACCAGACTCCCATGTCCATATACACATTAATAAATTTGTAAGACGTTTTCTCTTATTAATCTGTCTATTGTCAGTCATTTCAGTGACGCTCCAGAAAGGATGAAAGAAAAACTTTCTCTCCACCTCTACACAAACTAGAAAGCAATATATCAGCTCATATGTATGCATTAATGTGTGACTTGGTTCTCACTTCTCTGCCACAGTGTTAAAATTTTTTGTTGTTGTTCTTCAAAAGTTATCTTTCTTCCAGACATGCTACACTTCAACTCTTGAAACAGTTAAACTGGGACACAATACAAGCAAAGGTCAATCTTATGGTAAAGGGTAGAAATGATTGACGATTACTCATCTGTAACAGTGAATAATCTCTTAAACTGTGTGATTTTTATGTCAATCTCAAATAAAATTTTGTACATGCTTTGGGTACAAATTAAGGAAAAATATTAAGTTTTACCCAAGAGTCAATGTGCATTTCAACCACGGTAGAGGTCCATATATTGAAGATCAAAGGCAAGAACTTAGGATCTAATCAGACAACCAGAGATCCATTAAAATCTTCATGACAAATAGGTCAATCTGCTGCCTTACTCTAAACATTTTCAGTATTACATTATTTATTTTATAAAGCTAGGAAAATAGAAGACTCATTTTTGTAAAAAAAATACAAGTCAGAATTTTACATACAGATAAATCAGATTTTGAAGGAAACTCTTTAGAGTGATAAGTAGATAACCACCTGGATACCTGGATGCTATTAGCCTTGGGGATAAAAGGAAAAGACAGACAGACTGACACACAGGATACTTAAAAGTATCCAAACCTGGAAAGGAGAAAGTCATCATGCAGTTTTACTAAGGAAATTCAGTCTGTGAGGCTGGTTCATCATCTGGTGACCGTTCGGTGTCTATGTATCAAAAACTGCCCCGATATTTCTAGATATTTCAGAATACCATCACAACCTACAACAAATTGCAGCTCTTTCTGAAATTTAAAAAAATAGAAAAAAATTTGACCTGTGTCATTAGCAAAAAAAAAAAAAAGTGAACAGTGAAAATGATAATAAGAAAAAAGATATTTCAGATTTAGTACCTCTAGGTACATATAATATGTCCCTATGGAGTACTATATCAACTTGAAATGTGAATATGTATAATTTACATATGAATATATGTATTTTCCATATAGTGAAATAAAAATTTAAATTACAGTATTCTGTAAATTATGTAATTAACAATATTTAATTATTACAAAATTTTTTATACAAGCACCAGCAGAATTATTTAGAAGTTCATGAATTTCTATCCTAGAAATATACACATTTTCCCACAAATTTTATACCAGTTTAATTATTGATGCTACTGTATTATAACCAGAAATTTCTACAGTTCATTAAGGATTCACATTTATCAGTCAACCTTTTCCATCACTTTCAGCAATGATACTAAAACAGAATTCCAGAATTACTAAGTGAAAATAGAAATATGAAGTAGAAAAATGTCATACACACACTTAAAAGTATAAACTAATGGTTATTTCAATTCTTTCTCAAGAAAGCCACAAGATTTTTCCAGTAACTATAATTAAGCATTCCCATTTAACTCTAGGAAAAAGAAAGCCTAAAATGCTCGAGAGTGCTCTCCTTCAAATCAAGTTGATTTAACCGAATAAACTGAGTGCATCTTCCTTTACCTTTTTTGGAAACTAAAGTGCACAAAAATGCTGAATACCACCTCAAATCCTGTCTAATATCCATTTTAATAGATAGGAATTTAAGTAACAAATCTTCCCCACCTCCTAGGAAGGAAAAACAAAGTCACAAACATCTCACCAAAACAAGGAGGGCAAAGGCCTCTCCTAAAAACTGGCGGTATCCACAGAAGACAGAAGGCCCGTACTTACACAGATGGCTACAGCTCCTGCCCCCATTCTCTCAGGAAGTGTCTGGAAGAACTGATGAAGACCAGACGAAAACATTAAGATGACAGCAAAATACTAAAATCCCATTTAGCGGATATGCTTTGATTTGAAAAACAGCTCCCAGTCCAAAGGTCCCATAGTAAGCGAAGGGCAGCTCCTAACATTTTAGGAAGTGTGGGTTTGCTTCTCTTTCGGCTAAACCCACATGGCTGGAAGTACTGCCTGGAGTTGAAATCTGATCCACAGCCTCAGTGCTGGCCAGTAGAGGGAGTCATGTGACACGAGTCTTAAGTCGCAGACATCTTTTTCTTAAACCTGACTTGCTAGGTCCCACCCATAGGCTTCTTCAGCTCAGAAAACTGTAGTCATTAATAGGACTAACAGCGCATAAAGCGAAAACACTAACTTGCTTCCCAGTCACTACTCAGCTCTAAGAAAAATTTACAGATCCAAACTCAGGTTTAAATCTGCAGGCACATTCCTCATTTTTCTGAGCCAGTTTTCTCTTTGTCCCCTAGAGACCAGATAAATGCCATCAAAAGTTTCTGCCTTCCAACTTTATTCTATCAGAATCATTTTAAATCAAAATGCTCTATTTCATGTAAAAGTAATTACTGCTTCTAATTATTTTCAAATTATTTTACATTTACTGATGATAAACATATTTCTTAAACATTCTTACTTGTATATGTGATTTATAGTCTGCAAAATTAACCTCTAACAAACCTTTCAATAACTTTCTACTCCTTTCAATAACTTTCTACTCCACATGCTGCATCATTAGAAAATCTTGATAGGCTTTACAATTTATAAATATTTGAACTGATAGCTAAAATATCCATTTCAGGTAAGCTAGAAGGAAACTATCCTATTTTTGCTTTTATTACCACTTTTTCTGTCAATTTTGTTAAATATATCTGGCATACTTAGCAAACGTTGACTACTTACATGTGATGTTTCACTAGTCCCAACTTTAAAAGACTTAAGTTGTCCCAATGACAAAAGCATAATAAAGTTATATCTGAAGGGAAGTAGGTAGGAGAAAAAAGGAAAACCAAAATCAGTTTTCATTTCAACACTTCCCTTCAAACCTAATTTTCTTGGTATTTCTATAACCAACCAGTACTTTCTACAGCAGAGCCAAGATACCAAATCATGGTAAGCAAACCACTGAACATAACAGAGTACAGTTTATTTTTACTCATGCATGTAAAACATAGTGCAGACTTTATTTCTACAAGGCAGAATAACACAATACACATCCCATACAAGGGAATGGAGTTGAGAAAATGGTCCTAATCTTCTCCATTAAAAAGAGGAAAAAATGTTTCTACTTCTACCGTCATCTAGAATTTTATCACTTATGCTTCCCATTCACCCATTAGAATACTGGGCTTATTATTAAAGAACATTATCATAACAGAAACTATTTTTAATATCTTAAAAATTCGTCTTCTTTTTCTAATTATATAAGCACTGCAGGTTCATTATGAAAAATAAAGCCTAAAGGTTAGGTCACCTACATGCCCATCATTCAACCAGAATTTTTATCAACACTGGGCCAAGCACTATGCTATTGTGCAGACACTTATGGAAAGGCATGGTACCTTCTCTCATTTCAACTGGGGAAGAGAAGAATAAAAATAAATACATAATCCTTTATTAATAGTAAATTCAGATAATGGAGTTTAGGAGATGCAACCCCAAAATATGACACCTTGGCATACCGAATAAGTTAAGCTCAAGGGATCTGAGAAAACTGCAGAGTCAGGAAGGTCACTCTCTGTTTCACCCTTCTCCCTTGAAAATCCCAGAACTTGGGATTTTTTTTTGTCTTCCCTGAAAACATGTCATTAGACCCTCATGTGAGAGATATCCTCCCTATACCCAAAGGAAAAGAATATCTTTATGTCTGAAGATGAAGGGTCACTAAGAAGAACTAAACAAATAGATCTTGCTAAATATCCCCCAGTTTATCATCATAAGATTACATCTCCTCTGTTCTATCATATTTTCCCATGACTATTCACTCTTTATCAAACCTAGCATAAAAACATCCAGGTTTAACTGTTTCTTAGAGTCTTCATCTCCTTATGAAGGCCCCCATGACACATAAAATTGATGAAAGAGATTTGTATGCTATTCTCTTTTTAATCCGTCTGTTGCTATAGGGGCCTCAACCAAGAACACAGGATGGGTAAGGAACAGATATGTTTCCTTTCCACATAGATGTACTAATAAAGAAGCAAAGGCAGTGAAAGAGAATAACAGAGAATATACATCAGCACAACAGATCTACTTCCAGGATATTTTCTATTTCTGTCAAAAAACACAATTTAGAACAATTTTTTTCACTCAACATTGTAACAGAGGCATGCTCCCATGTTGTTAATAATACTATACATAAATTAAATTATGAGTAATATTACATTTTTTACACTTAACAGTTTTCCTAGTCATTTCCCATTTTTAGATATTTACATTGTTTCTGATTTTATATGTGTGTGATTGCAAGTAATGCATAAGTAATACTTTGTCTTTGTTCTGATTATTTCCTAGTTAAGAAAGTAAAACTTCTAAAATACAAAGAATATAGACATGTGCAAAGGCTCTTGATATATATTGGCTCTGGAAGTTTATACTCTACAACCCACCCTACACAAATTTAAATATTTGATAAAATATTCCCTAATTTAACAAAGTTAAAATAAGGCTGGGCATGGTGGCTCAAGTCTGTAATCCCAGTACTTTGGGAGGCTGAAGTGAGAGGATTGCCTGAGTCCACGGGTTCGAGAACAGCCTGGGCAACTTGGCAAGACCTCATCTCTACAATTAAAAAAATATTAGCCAGGCATGGTAGCACGTGCCGGTAGTTCCAGCTACTTGGAAGGCTGAGGCAGAAGGATCACTGGAGCTCAGCAGGTCAATGCTGGGGTGGAGCATGCCACTGCACTCCAGCCTTGGTGACTGAGTGAGACTCCAACTCAAAAAAATAAAGAAATAAATAAAGTAAAAATTATTTCTCACTTAAAAACATCTATTCCTTTTTATTATCAGTAAAATTAAAAATATGAAAACTCCTCATTGGTCATTTGTATTTTCTGTTCTGTAAACTGAACTGTCTTTGATCCATTGTTTTGGTCTGTTTATCAACTGGAGTCTGGTCAAAGTCTCTTTTCATAGAGTGTTAAATCAAACTTAATTTGGCCAGAGGAAGCCTCCACACTCACGTACATGATTTCTTAAGAGTGAATTGCAACCTAACTTAGTATACAAACTAGCAGAACACCTTACTTTCAAGCATGCTTCTGTAACAGTAGCTGAGCATCTGCCAATCACAGCCGCCATACTTGAACCACTTATGGGCAGCCTACTGTTCACACCAGTCAAATAAGGCAAATGGCAAGTTGTAACCAACCCAGCTGTTTCTGTTCCTCACGGCCATTTCCATACATCCCTTTTCTTTTTCTGTCCATAAACCTCATCTGACCATACAGCAGCCCAGGAGTCTCTCTGAATCCGTTCTGATTCTGGGGACTGCTCAGTTCATAAATTATTATTTTCTTTTTTTTGTTCAATCGAACTCTGTTAAATTCAATTTGGTAAAAGTTTTTCTTTTAATGTATTTGGTGTCAGAAGTGAGGATCTGAAGTAAAACTCCAATGATCTCCCAGGAACACCCAGTGACCAGGCTAGATGTCCACAAAGCCAGTTGTGCTTACTACTTTTTTGTCTGTACCTTAAGGTCATAGGTGAATTTTCTAATTCCAGGCTCCACTAATTTGAGTTCTGAGCTAAGCTTATTTGAGCAATATTTAGACTGGCCTGGGTCCAGGATCAGATTGGATTTGGTAATTAAATGGATTAGATTCAGTTAGGGGGTCTTGGGCCTTGGTTAGGCACCTTTTTGATCATGGCTTTGTCTGAATCCAAGGTGTCTGGGACTCCAGCTAATTTTATCTTATAAGATGTATGGGCCCAGAATATACACATTAAAAAAAAAATGGGTTAATTTTACTAGGGACAACTCAGAATTAAGATGATCATAATGGAGACGTTTTAATTTGGATAAAATTTTGGATTTGCAAGGCATATTATGGGGGAAAAGGAATAAAAAACACCATGTAAACAATAGGATTTTTTTTTTTTTTTTTTAGTTGGAGTCTCACTCTGTTGCCCAGGCTGGAGTGCAGTGGCATGCTCATGGCCACCCCAGCGTCGACCTGCTGGGCTCAGGCAATCCTTCCACCTCAGCCTTCCAAGTAGCCGGAACTACAGGCATGCACTGCCATGCCCGGCTAATTTTTGATTTATTGTAGAGACGAGATCTCACTGAGTTGCCTGGGCTGGTCTCGAACCCCTGGGCTCAGGCAATTCACTCGCCTTGGCCTCCCAAAGTGATGGGATTACAGGTTGAGCCACCGAGCCCGGCCGGATGTATTCTTTAATTGATATGCAAAGCGACTAAAAGACTAAATCAACCAAAAATTGTCTCCTTAATAGATTGTTTGCAAAAAAACCAAAAAGCTTAAGCAACGGATGAAGGACATAACCAAAGAGGACTGAACTCTAACTAACCCCAGCTGTTCCTTCTCTTTATCTGACTCAACATACATACTCTGAGTCCACTAACTTTTTTTTGTTAAATTACTCTTTTACCACGAAGATGATGAAAAGAGAAGTTAGACAGATGCCTTACAAAGCAAGACTGTCTAATCCTCCAAGCCTTCCTGCCATAACCTTTACTCAGTGGTTTAGCACTGAGCTTAGAGCCACTGTGAAGAACTTTCCTGGTCCAAGGGAAAGTCATCAAAAATTTATTGAGGAATTCAGAATTCTCATAGGAGCTTAAAATCCAGGAACCATTGACCTTTTCATTTATTTACGTGATATTGGAGCCTGGTAAAGCTCAAACATGGATGGTAGATGTGGGATAGGACAAACCAGAGGAGAGTATTAAAGATCCTCCAGAACATCTTCATGAGAAGTGCCAAAACAAGCTAGAAAAATTGCTGAAAACCTTTCAACTTAATTTGTAAGATTTTTCTACAAAAAGTGATGGGTCCACCATACATTCTTACAGACAAAAAAAGGAGGAACCAGTTTTGGATTATAGAATGCGTTTAGAAACACTATGTGGGAAGCATTCTTGGCTCCGAATACAAGGAGTGTTTCCTACAGGGACTGAAACAGCATTAACTACTCTTTAGAGCCATTTATAAGTGGACTCTATCCTGAACTTAGCAATTTAATTAAAAAATATAAACTAGGATCGGAATTTACAGATATGACTGAATTGGTGGCCTTAACTGAATATTTTGAGAGGACTCGAGCAAGAAATAAACCTAAAGGCTATCAAGCTGTCTCT